CCCGATTAATATCCGATACTACAGCATAGTCAGCGCCAAGCTTTACATGAACGTGTGTGAGAAGAAGCCTTACCAGTAATGTTGTGCCCCTTCGCCTTCAGGCCATCGAGGACTTCTGTAGAATACACGCTGTCCGCATCTACCTGCAGCGGGTACAGCTGGTCATGTAGGCGCCCGTATTCGATTGCTGCGCTGATATCCATGCCCCAATCTAGGTTGAGAATACTTGGAATACAGCCGGGAAGATACGCGCGCCCCAGAGCCACCGATCGCGAGGTAAAATGAGCCATCCTCGTGCTCGAGAATAATCGGGACCGTGGATGACAACGGGCGCTTTCCCGGCTCTGGATAGTTGACTGCGACATGCTGTGAGCAGGGTAGATGCAGGGTCTGCAACACTTACAGGGAGACGGGTAGAGTCCGAAGCGGTTAGGGAATCCGGGAGTGGAGAAATCATCCATCTTCGCCCGAGTTGGATTAGTATAAAAGGTCAAAGTGCTGCTGCGCTCACCTCATCATTCAGAATAATGCCTGTGACGGGATCCATGACACGCGATCCCAAAACTGATTGACGGTAGAGTGAGGGAAACGGCCATACCGTTCTTGTCTAACACGGCGGAATGACTCTAGATTGTGATACCATTATAAACCTGCTGGAAAGAGCCACTGCAAGAACGCACAGTTCCGTGGTCGATTTGAATATCATAGATAGGTTTGTAGAAATCTGGTGAATGAGTACGGTCCTGCCCATTTTGTGTTCAATAAAACTTATTGCGGCTTTTGTGCTGGAAATTCTTACGTCTGTCATGTTGGAGAAGATGGTATCGCTAAATTCTTCGATGATATTTCGTCAATGCGCCCGAGGTCATCAGTAAATGCGGATCGCAGACTTTCGTGCTGAAAAAATAATGGTTCAATAGATCACGGAATAATCAGACTTCCATCACTAACCGAGCAGCAAATCCGACTGCAGTACTTGTTCGTAAGACACCAAATGTCTCTAGAATAGAACCACTACACTTCATTGCTTCAATATACCTATGTGTATTCACACAGTCCTGCCTTCCTCAACGAAGTCATCATAATGCTAGCAGGTTGAGCATGTGCATCAGCACACCGCCAGAAGTGGGCGCATGCGGACTATAGATCTTCTTGCCACGATACGATCCTCGGAGGGAGGGCGCGACGTTGACCCGATATTTGGCCAAATCCTCAAGCGTCATGATACCGCCTGTTTCACGGACTTTCTTTACAATGGCGTCTGCAATAGGTCCCTAAGTATTACCTAGATTGGAAATAATCTTCATATGAATTTGTGCCCGTGACATACCTTATACAAGGCGTCTGCGCCTCCTGCAGCTACAGCAGCAAGTGTATGTGAGAGATTCGTTCGGCGGATGATGTCGCCTTCTTTCAGAAGCGAACCCTCCGGTGCGAAGATTGCTCTCCAATCAGGGTCTTCGAGCATCATATCATCAAACCACTATGGTCAGAAATGGCACTGGTCGTTTCAAACGATCGGAAGGGATGCAAAAATGAAGCGCACCTGGATCCTCCTCCCGAGCTCCTTGCCGACCTTCCATCCCCGCGCGAGCTCGGCTGCAGGTTCCACAAGCGTACTCCACGGGAGGCTGCCCCATCGCTTGTGCGCTTCCTCAAGTCCGCGAAGCTCCCCGGGAACACCAGCAGACAGACCACCGAATGCTGCCGCGTCTGGCTTGCCCACGTACATTGTCGAATTCGCTAATGCAGGCGCGACTTCACGGAAGTCGATGGAATAGACTTGGGACGAAGCACTCGCCGACGATGGGGGAATGCGCACGGTCATGAATCCTCCGCCGCCATACCCGATCTTAATCTCGATCAATAGTATCACAGTAATATCGAGACCGCTGAAGCACTCACGAGAACATGTTCTGCACGCCAATGCACAACGTAGTGCTCACTGCGGCATCTACTGCATTTCCTCCCATCTTCAGGACATTCACTCCGAGGATCGAGCAGGCTTCGTTCTCACTGGCAACTGCCCCATGAGTCGCCTCGATGATGTATGCGGGGTTGCCGGTGCCAGAAGGAGCCTGTCGCTTGTGGCTGCTATGCGGACTGTGCACACAGAGACGGCGCAGGCTGTCCCGAGTGACAACGCGAGCAGGACGCATGCTGCGAGTAAACCAGTAGCTTTCTCCGAATCCCTTATCATGCAGGTTGCTTCCTGGGATAGAGGGGCAGCTGTACGCCTTTGTCGCCGTCCACGGTGCTAGCTTGCCTGAGCATTGTATGGACGCACGATACGCGACAGAAAGCTAGATGATGGACGCGTCGGGGACGGGTGACCCGCCTTCAGTCGAGGGGAAGATAAGGGAGACGCCGGAAGGTTGCGTCGATTCCGAATCGATACATGTCGGCCGCAAGCGCACCGAAAGACGACGACCACGGGAGCAGCGGCTACACACGAAACAGAACACGCACATCGAGCACAGAGCTTTAGCCGAGGACAACGTATATGACGAGAATCTGCGGTGCGTTGGCGGCGCTTTCAAAATTGACCATCGCGCAATTGGCGCTATGGATGTCCTCACAATTTCACACCCTCAGCGCTACCTTCCCGTCCGCCAACTTCATGGCGCTGCGACATGGGAACATGACCTGCATACACTCCAAGGCTCTGACAGAGCGTACTTATCAATATCTCATGAGCATCTTACCCCACTCGATGTCTCGTAACACGTCGTGCATTCAGACCTAGTGCGGGGTTCATCACCGTCTCAAGAACAGATCACACTCTTCCCGTGGCAGCCATGCGAGGCAAGCTCGTACTGGTCAGGCGAGGTGTGCCTATTCGTTGGACGGGCCAGAAATCCCGCGTACCCTCATGGGACTCAGCAAGCGAAACGTTTAAGTGCATTTCTACTGTTGCCAGCGGTCTCCGATGTGGTCTCCTGCTATTTCACAAATCGTCGGAGACAATTACTACTTGCTTCGGTCTGGATCAACATGATTTCCGCTACAGTGGCTTTGTTGTGTCTGTGCAGGCTTGCCCAGACAAGTCCTACGAACTTGACTGGTGGCCTACTGAAGGTCCCCTTCAACACCACACTGAGGTGGAATTGGCTTACTATTTTGAGATTCTGTCGTCAGCTCATAATTCCTTCAGCTTGTTTCAGTCCTGTACGGCAGGATTCTTTGAAATGCACGAGGATGCGAGCTTATGCGCATAACCAGCCACAACTATTACAACTGTCGGAGTGAAAGCTGTCATGTCCAGTGCGTCTTAATGATCATCCGTTGTTTTTGTTCACCTTGACTAAACAATTTGCGATAAATTTGTGCTGCCATCGCATCCAACAGTACGTGCTGGACTATCGCAGACATGGAAGAATGTCCTCATAGACACAGGAAGTGCCTTCTTGTGGGTTGAAGGCGATAATGAGCAGTATATTCCTGGCCCGTTCTCTCATGAGTATGTCAAATCAGAAGAGACACTTTGATCGTGCTCACAGCCATCTCTCCAGCATGAACGCGGAATTTACTGCTGGGTACGTGTCATGCCACACGTACCGCATATATTCTTGAGCTTAAGGACGCGTAACTTTCAGGTATGGTACAACGAATACCGGCGGCATATTCGACGGAGGTGCTGCTACGGGCAACGCGTATATGGATCTAGTCACTGTTGGCGAAGCTGTCGTGGCATCTCAAATTATTGGAGCAGCAACATCCATACATTTCAACGCAATAGAAGGCGATATTGACGGAGTCCGTCAGTTGCAGTTTTTTCGAGTGTCATGGTGCGGTATTTTGACACGTTGTAACATGCCGACAGTGGGCCTGGGTCCTCGAGACTCGAATCAAGGCCAGGTATCTGGCTACAACACGACACCAACGTTTGTCGAGAATCTCGCGTCGGAGGGGACGATCGAAAAGGCTCTCTTTGGACTGTACATTGATCCTCTGGGCGAGAATGGTGGATCACAAGGTTTGGGGGAACTGTCCTTCGGTGGTATTGACCAGGCTCGCATCAGCGGTACGTAGTTTGTTTGCGCGGGGGTGCTGTCAGTAAAGCAGCTCACATTAATCCGCAGGAGAGATGACGTGGGTACCGCAGGTAGCCGGGTACACGGATCGCTACGTGTTCAACGTACGTGCATTACTCATTCGAGCTCGGTGGTCAAGTATCTGACTTTCTCTGTAGGTGTCGACGCTCACCTTTGGTGATAATGTTGTCTCCAATGACACCATCTTAGCCACAACCGACTCTAGCACTCCACTTATTCGCATCCCTGAGTAAATCATTGTCCCACGTGTATACATATCAATCTCACTCCTGCCTTTTTCTAGGCAACAGTGGTTTGCTATCTTGTCCAATGTGCCCGGTGCTAGTACCTATGCTGATCCTTCATCGGCGCTTCGGTTCTGCATAATATTCAAGAACACTACTGCTGCTGCCCTTCCTGACCTTGTACTTGGGATCGGAAACATGACTGTCACCATTCCTCCATCGAGGTTAGTACTGTCTCTAGCAACCACAAAATGTCTGACAAATTGCCGTTGTCCCTTTTGATAGCTATATTGTTCCAGAGAGCTTGTACTCGTTTTTGAATATCACAGATAGCGGCGTCATCCACACGTGGTTTTACTCCGCTGCACGAAGCCAAGCAGTATTGGGTGAGAAGTTCCTGGAAAATGTGTATTCGGCATATGACTGTGAGTACTGTGCTATCCGGTCGTATTTCTCAATTCTGATGCATGCACACAAAGTGGAAAATAACCGTGAGTGCTTTGATATTTGTGGATCACTTCGCTTATGCAGCTCTGTGCTACAATAGTCGTCGGTCTTGCAAATCTCGCAGTGTAGTTGTACACACAGATGACAATGATAGTGATAACCGTGCCGTGGATTTGGAAAGATAAGGAGCAGCAAACTGACAGCGCGGTCTCCGGTGCAAATTAAACATCTGCGAACCGCTCGTAAATAATATCTCATGTTCGGAAGAAAAGTTTGTTCCCGGGGGGAGTCGAGCCCCCGTCTTCACGGATTTCAGCACACAACCCTCACTGCCACAACGTGATGATCTAACCACTAATCGACGGGAACATATCGGAGCTTGGAGGTAAAAATAATCATCAGTGCAGTGACATCAATCATTTGTGAGGTCATAATCTAGCGCTGCCTGGCCAGTGGCGGCCTGTGCAGGACTCGTGCTCACTCTCTCTGACAGCCTCTTCCAACCATGAGAAAAGCATCGTACGTCGTCGCATTTTTCGCCGTGGTAGCGACCGTCATCCTCGTAAGTGTATCTGCACCGCGTCAAGCCCCCCTAATTCCCCTGCCAACAGAATGGCCTCTCTGCCACCCGCCCCGACTGGTTCGCCAATGCGCAGCCTTTCCCCCATTCCGTATCTGACGCCGTTCTCCATTGAAGGCTCGTTGTGAACAACCCCGAGATATTCCATGCCAAGGTCACAGTGCAGTACGGCCTCACGCAGCGCTGTGAGCGGCAAGTCGTGGTCGTCCCCGGCCTGCCGGACGGCAGCAAGTTGGCATACACCGACTACAAGTGCCGTGCGTTTCCCAACCGCGTCACCGACAACTGCGAGAAGGAGAACAAGGCATTCTGCATGACCTGGAGCACCGCTGGGTACTTCACCGAGCTGGGTGTGGGGTCTGGCATCGTGGCATGCCTTGCGTTGCTATTCGGCGTCAGCACGCACTCCAGGAGACGGAGAATTTGGAGGGCTGTTGCGTGGCTGACGGCGCTCCACGGTATGCACACTCATCTCGGATGTATGGCTATCCTCAATGACAATTACCGGAATTGCAGTCGCCTTCCAGATCATCACCTTTGCTGTGGTGACCGATCTCTACCGCAACTCCCGCTATCCTACCTTTGAGCAGGCTCGCCCTGGTACGCCTCTCGATCTCGATGATTCTGTGTTTTTCAATTGATGATCGTGCGAAGGAATGGCCTACGTCCTCAATGCCCTCTCATGGGTCTTCGGGATCTTGGTCACCATTGGCATCATCACGACAGGTGTCTCTGCCAACAAGGGGCACAGATGGGCTGCTGGCAATCGTGCCTACCGACCCATTGAGGGATAAGCCCTCTCGCACATTTGCCATGCACAATGTACCGGCCACTCCAATACCCCCTTCGACGTACATCCACGAAAGATTCCCATAATCATACCGTCTCCGCTCCGCTCGCTTCACACTTGTAGATATAGCATCTCCGTATATGTCACCTCTTACTTATACACGCGTCCAATCAATTCATAGTCCCTGGCAAGCTCTGTCCTAGTCAAGCGCCGTAATTAGTCCACCTCTGGGTAATCAACCTGGTCGTAGAGCCGGAGCGTCTCGTTCCAGTCCCGTTTTCTCCTCCTGCGGACCGAGAAGTACTTGGCCTTGCTCTCCCACCGCCCCTGCACGCGGCCCTTCTGCCGTCCCCCGATTTCCGCAAAGTACTGCTCCGGATCCGCCTGCAGCCCCAGTGTCTGCACCGCGAGCTCCATCACACGCGCGTGGAGGCTCGCCCGGAGCGCAAGCAGCGCGTCCAGGCGCGGGCGCCCGATGAGCAGGAGGCGCGAGAGCGCTGCGACCGCGCGGAACGCGGACACCGCGTCCTCCGTCCAGCGCAGGGACATCCACATCCCGACGGGGACGACGACGGCGGTGAGCGGGGCGACGGGGAGCGAGAGGAGGATCGCGGTGACCCAGACGCACACCCCGGAGATGAGGCCGTAGATGAGCTTGTATTGCGCGATCTCGTCCCAGGTGTCCCAGATGGGCCCCGTGCGCTTGAAGCGCGAGACCGCGATGACGGTCGTGATGAGCACGGGGAGCCAGAGGAGGAGGCCGGGGAGCGAGATGGTGACGAGGAAGATCGTCCAGGAGAGCCGGACTACGATGCGGAACACCATCACGTGGCGGGGGAGTGGCTTGCGGACGCGGTCGTCTTTGATCCCTGAGGACGCGATGAGATCCTGGTATTTCTGCCCAGACATTCAGAATAAGGAACTTGAAAAGTGGATATGTGGTACATACCTGAAGGTCATTTCCGAGTTGGATGATTTTGCCGTCCTCCCGAATCGTTTGTTCGGACGGCATGGTCTCTCCTTCGCTGGAGCTTTCTACACGGGAGGCTTCCGCCAGCTTGAATGCCTCGAGGAACGTCCGTACGACGCGCACGTAGTCCCCTAAACTCATTGTCGTGCCGAGCGGCGCATACATCCTTGCGGCGAGTTTCGCATTGCGTATGAGGCGCCATGACGGTGCATCAAGGGTGCCAGAGCTGATTTGCTGATGCAACCGCGCGGTCAGTGCGCGAATGTTACTATAATCAATGGGTGCTAATAGTTCCGGGTTGTCCTGAAGACATCTTAGATCGGAAGGCAGGACGTAAGACTAGTACGAACCTTTGGTCGGAACTTGATGGGCTCATGGAATGTGACCAGAACATCCGACCGCCAATGTTGTCGATGCCTGTGTGAAGGACAAGTCAATTATCAGTATATGCATCATATGAAATGACGTCACATGTATGTTATGGAACACGTTAGTACGGATATTTCGAAATCTGGTTGTTCACGATTCCGGGAGAGCACATCGGAAACGATACGAGCAACTAGGAAATATAATTCATACTAGCACTAAACTCGTGGCATGTTCGACTGACCTCCTGTCTTCAATGGAGCAATGGTTGGATGATAGCGGCTCATGCCCTCGGGGAACAAACAGACAGCATCGCCCTCTTCCAACGCCTGCGAGAAAGGTGGTCACGACGGAAGGAAACAAGGCCGAAACTCCAGTCACGCACTTCCATCAACTTGAGCATTACTTCACTATTATCTACTTGACCATTTCCGAAATCCTTTGGGCGCTTGATGGGAACGGTGCCGCGGATTCTATGAGCCAGCTGGTGAACGTCCTCTTCCCGAACTGAGTAGACTTGGCGGTGAGTCTTAGCATGTTCCGTCTCTGATGCACAGGATGAGAAACCAAACGAACAAACGCTGTGCAGGCTTACTTTGGACGGTATTGCGGTGACGAGTAGACTGGTCGCGCGAGGTCAACGATGTTGATGAGTCACAGCACAGCATGTGGCACGTACAGCGCATCAGTCAAGGAGTTGCTGTGATTCGCACACACAATGCTGTAAGATGAATGAGGCTGCAGTCCTGCAGACTAGCATGTGGAGCAGGACCACTCACCAGGGTTGCCCCTTGGCTGGAATCAGGTCTGCATTCTCGACGACAATAGTGCCATAGAATATTTTGAGCACGAATTTGAAAAGACATCTGTCCGACGTCTCAGCTGCAGTCCCGAATGCTCGTCAGGATTTGACAGACCTGACGAAGAAGTAGGACCAAGACGTCGGGGAGCCTTGAGGCATGGACGGCGAAGCCAATAGCGCCTAGAGGATGCCAGAGAGCAGGAAAGCAACGAGCAAGACGACAGGGCGGTGGTGGACGGGAGAGAAGAGCGCTGCCGGGCAGGACCGCGGCTGCGCGGGGTACTTGGTAGAATGGGGACGCACGTCGGTCGTGTGCAGAGTTTGTCACGAGGTCACGTCCTGAATTTTCAATTTTATTCACCTGCCGCTGCGGGCGTGCGGTATACCGTACTCGCTCTCATCGTTTACGTCCGACGCAGTCCCCTCAACGTTCAACCATGGCCGACGCCCTCCAGGACGCCTTGTCCAAAATCCGCCCGCATACATCCTCATCGCTCGCCCATCAGAAGGCCCCCGCAACTCTCCTCCATGCCCTCGAGGCCACCTTTCGCGAGCAGCACGCACAACCCACACCGACCGCGTATTTTGCCTCTCTTTTGACCACCCTCGATGGCGTATTGCAGGCTGCTCCAGCCTCCGGTCCACCATTGGGCGACGGCGATATCCTGCCTGCCGTGTTGTACTTACTCGCACTAGTCGCCCCTCATGTTCCTCCGCCTGTCATACGTTCCAACTTAAATACGGTCATATCACTGACTGCACCTCTCTTTCCTGTGCTCATCACACATGCCCCGCCACTGCGATCGCAGCTCACGTTGTACAGTGCCGTACTTCAGGCCCTGGAGCGTCCACAGCTCGTGGAAGCGCAGGGTCTACGCCAGTCATTCGTGTTCATCTTGCAGCTAGCTCTCGATCCTCGCCCAAAAGTCCGCAAAAGAGCAGCCGAACTCGTCCGAGACATACTTGCTGCTCCTCCGCCGCCTCTCCTCAGGCATCCCTACGCCGAGCGTGTGGCGGACTACATTAATTCTGCCATGTCTGAGCTGAGCGCGAACGGCATGCCCAAATTTAAAGGGAAAAAGGCAGACACCGAAGGTTCAGACACAATTATACACCTGCTCGCATTCCTCCGTCCCATACTGCCGTCGCTCCCTCCAACGGTGAGTAGATACTTCGTGCTTGGTGTGTTAATCCTCATCAGGGCGCATTAGTCGCTCCCTCCAATCACCTCCTCGCTTCTGCTCCTCCCGCGGCTCGGGAACCCATATGTCTCTCAGTCTGCGTACTCTATTCTGTCCGATCTGCTGGCGATTTCCGTGGACGACCCCGCGAACAACATACAAGCACAACTTTCCGAAGTGCTCAAGGCTGTGCTGTCGACTTCACCCTCTAAAATAGATGCTGCGCTCACGCCAGCCTGGGCAGGCGTTCTGGGTAACGTGATGCTAGCATACCATGCTACGGACGCAGAGGCCTGCGCGAAGGAGGTAGGAAAAGTGTGGAAAACGCTATGGCCGTTCCTGGAATCAACAGGTTCTCCGACTAGAAAAGCCGCAGCAGAGTCCCTCGGCATGGTAGCACGTTGTTTCACCCCCTCCCTCATCGCTACTGCGGTCGAAGAACGCGCTCTGGACGAGCCGAAATCCGTCATAGGTCGGATCATCGTGCAGACCTCGAGGGCACTGGACTCGTTGGCGTACGCGCGCTCCATCCCAGATCTGCTGACCGTAGTCTCTTCGTTGATCAACTGTCTACGGCACCGCAGCGGCTCGCCCGCCGCTCCCACCGCCGCAGAGGCGCTCCTTCTCCCGCTCGTTGCAAAAATCGGTGAGCTCCGGGTCCAGAAAACGTTTGAGCACAA